AGTTTTGTGGGGGCTGGGGATGGAGAAGAGGCTTCTCATTTTAGACCAGAATCAAGCTGTTAGGAGCCTGGGCAGGTGGAGAATGTCCAACTGTGCTAAAAAGCCCTGTGTGTCTGGATAGTCATTGGAGATAAAAAAGGGTTATTGGAGCTGAGTCACAGAAAATCTTGGAATGAGATAGAGATAGAGATAGGGAAATAAATAGAGATGGGGAGGGGGGCGAAGACAATGACAGAAAGAAAGATGGAGGACAGAGGAGAGACAGGAGAAGTGGAAGAGGGGAGGAGGCAGCAGCAGAAAGAAGAGGAAAGGCCTGGGAGGAGGGAAGGAGAGAAAAAGAGAGAGGAAGAGAGAACCAGAGACAGAAGAACAGATAGCCAAGATACAGAGAGAAAGATCGATATACTTGGAAAAGATGCAAATAGAGACAGAGAGAGGGAGGGAGGGAGAAAGGGCAGAGGGAGACAGATACAGAGAAGGAGACAAAAGAAATGGAGAGAGCAAAGGATATACCCAGAGAAACAGGCACCAACAGAGAGAGTGAGACCCTGAGAAACATGTGTGGGCACAGAGTTACACACAGACAGGGACAGCCACAGTGACCTGCGTGACCGCAGAGCCCATGCATGCTACTGCTTAGAGTCAAGCCCATTAGAAGCAGATGGCAGGACAGCATCTTTTATGTGTGTCTTTGGCAACTCAGCTCAGAGCTCTCTTTAAGATAACGATGAGTTCTCAGTGTACATTTCTTCCCTCTTTCAATGCCTGCTCCCTGAAGAATCAGTAATTAAGCAACAATAACAAAATAACAACACCACTCACAAGGCTGTCTTGTCTTTCTGAGAACTCCAGGGAGCCCAGTGCAGATTATGAGAAAACTGTGTCCCAGCCTGGCCCCGCCCTGCAGCCCTGCTCACCCTCCACACATACTCCCCCCAGGGACACTGCTTCTCAACGCTCAGGATCAAAGACTGCAAATAATTAATGAGCCTTTTCTCCCCAAGAGTTCTGTGACAATAGCTCAACCTGTCAGTGATGTTATCCCTGCTTTTGATGAGCTTAGAACCAGCACAGGGAGGGGAGGAGATGAGAAGATGGGAGAGGAGAGAGAAGGGGGAGGAAAAAGAGAAGGGAGGGAAGGTCCAGTAAGCGCCAAGCTGAGAGGGAAAGGGTCAGTTCCAGCAACTCTGGATCCCAGCAGGAGGGAATGTGTCTGGATAATCAGGCCAGAGAGAGAAATGTAAAACACACACACACGGACGCACGCACGCATGCACACACATTTAATTTGCTTCAAGGCTGGAAAAACAATTTGTCCAGGAGCTGCTCAGCCAGACCAATTTGTAAATGCTAGAACTTTTAGGCATACCAGCTACAGAGAAACACTCCAGCTATATATTCTGGGAGGATTCACAAACTTGAACTTGGTCACACTGGCTCTCCATGGTTTCTGGTGACTTAGCATCCATCCCCATCGTATTCTTTTGGGAACCACCATTCCAGGCCATTATGGTTAGAGGCTGGCATCTGTGGTGGGCACTTCCATCCTCCTGTTATTCTGTTGGGTTCAGTGAGGTCCAGGCCTGGCCCCTGGGCTAGTACTACTGACTGGGAAGGGTCTCCTGCTGCTGGAAGGGCCTGGGACCGCATTGTTGGTAGTCTCATCCCTCCGCAGCCATACAGATGTGCCTGAGGATGAAGCCAGCCCAGGGAAGAGCAGACCCAAGAGGTGGAGAAATAATAAATCCCGAGCATCTGAATTCTCACACTAATGCCTTAGTAGTCCCCAGAGACTTTTCAATGATATGGACCAGTACATGCGTTCTAGGCATAAGTCACCCTGAGATGGGTCTGGGCAACTTGGGGCCTGACTGAAGGTCACACCTGTGATGACCAACTGCAGAAACACGAAGCTCTCCAGAGCTTTCTACATCCCTGCTTTTTAATCACAATTCTCACCTCAAGTAATTTACAAATTGTTTCTCTGACCTTTTCTCACAAAGCAGGAGCCACTGACATTCTACCCAGGGTAGAACGGGGAACCCTTGTACCCCAGTTCCAGTAACTGAGTCATTGTTCTCCACGTCTCAATTCTGCCCATCAATGACTTGGCTCCCGCCAGTCACCCAGCCCTCTCCAGGCTGACTCAGCTTGCTGGGACTACTCTCCGTGCCCTGTTGCTGAGCTCCAAGCACCACACTTCATTGCCACACAGGGTTTCCTCCCCCTTCCCAACCAGCTGCCCTTGCTGGTGGGCAACCACATCTGGGAAATCATCTCTTCTCTCTGCCAAGGTGCCCTGAGTCAGGAGGCCCATGACTACAGGTCAGGCAAAGCAGGCTCACCCTGGGTGTGTGAACCAGGGCCAAGTGACACTGAAGACTGGTTGGAGGTGATTCATTCTCTTTTGAGATCCTAGCAGCCATCCCATACTTACCATTACTTGGAGACCCAACAACGCCCTAGGTCATTGGTCGGCAAACTCAGTCAACAGAGCCAAATATCAACAGTATAATGATTAAAATTTCTTTTGCACATGGGCTACGAAGCTTCAATCGTGCTGTATGTGTGTGTCCGTACATGATATTTTGTGGAAGAGCCATGCTCAAGGGGCCAAAGAGCTGCATGTGGCTCACGAGCCACAGTTTGCTGACCACTGCCCTAGGTAATCAAGGGCCTGGTTCTAAAGATATTCTTCAGCTCTATAAACTATCTATGGAATCTTCCATGTTCTCTCTTTGCCTAAGTCAGCCAAAGTTGGTTTTAAACAACCTCGGCAGACCCACCTGTCCCACTGTCTATCCCACCTTAGTGGGACCTCTCCTCCAGGCACAGGTATCTGTCCTTTCCCATCACATTAACACTCCCATCCCAATTATGCAGCAATGGCAGAGCCCCAGGTTTAGCAATGTCAACCCCATTTGAAATCATCTCTCTTTTCCACCTCTTATTGTTGAAGTCCAAAATATCCAAAATTTATAAAGAACTTATACAACTCAACACCAAAACCCCCCAAACAATCCAATTAAAAAATGGGCAAAGGATCTATCTGAATAGACACTTCTTTGAAGAATACATACAAATGACCAAGAGACATATGAAGAGATGCTTGTTATCACTAATCATCAAAGAAATGCAAAATAAAACCCAGGTGAGATGTCACCTCACAAGGGCCAGAATGGCTACTATCAATAAATCAACAAACAACAAGTGCTGGTGAAGATGTGGAGAAAACAGAACCCCTGTGCACTGTTGATGGGAATGCAGACTGTTGCAGCTGCTGTGAAAAACAGTATGGAGTTTCCTCAAAAAAATAAAAAATGGAACTGCCAAATAACCCAGTAATTCCACCTCTGGAAATATATATGAAGAAACCCCAAAACGCTAACTTGAAACAATATATGCAGCATTATTTATAATAGCCAAGATTTGGAAGCAGTCCAAGTGCCCATTAATAGATGAATAGATTTAAAAAAAAAAAAGCTGTAATACATGTATATAATGGAAGGAAATCTTACCTTTTTCGATATTGTGAATGGACCTGTAGAGCATTATGCTAAGTGAAACAAGCCAGTCAGAGAAAGAAACACCATATGATTTCACTTATATGTAAAATTGAATGAGCAAAGTAAATAAACAAACAAAATAGAAACAGACTCATAAATACAGAAAACTGACTGACAGCTGTCAGAAGAAAGGAATGGTTGGGAGACAGGATGAAAAAGGTGAAGGGATTAAGCAAAAAAAAACCAAAAGCCAAAAAAACCCCTCACAGACACCAACAGGATGGTGATTACGAGAGGGCAAGGGCATGGGGGAGGTAGAAGAGGGTGAAGGGGTATAAAGGGTGATGAAGGAGACCACTTTGGATAGGGAGCACACCATACAATAGAGAGATGATGTGTTATAGAGTTGACACTTGAAAGCTATATAATTTTATTAACCGATGTCACCCCAATAAATTAAAACAAAAAAATGTGTAAATCCCTTTTGGGAGTGAAAAATAATTTCCCTGCTTGTCTGCCAGCTTGCTCCACGGTGAAGGGGCTGATGTGGAGACCGTGGCAACTCTCAGGTGTTTCGAATCAGGAAAATAAGACACATGTTTATTAAAAGTGTTTCTAATACTTGATTATCTGTCCCTCGGATGAGAAGATTAGATTTTGGAAGAGAAAGATTAATAGCTTTCAGAGATAAGTGTGCACTTGGACCTGCATGCCGATTGTTTACTGTGAAACAATGTGCCAGTGAGGCATCTTGTCTTTGCTTGCATTCGATGCATTATGGATAATGATCATTTAATTAAATCTCGTTATGAAAATTCCTCCTTTCTAAGCACGTTTTGAAGACTTTTTATTTTTTTAATTTATTTTTATTTTTATTTTTTTTGCCGGCCACCCATCAGTTGAAAACCCAACCCGACAATCCATTTCTAAATACCAGGCAGTGCCTGCCCCTCACCTTCTGACAGTGCAGTCCATAGAACCCAGGAGAACACAGACTTTGCAGATTGTCCTGTTTTTATTGAGATTTCTCTGCTACGAGGCTGGGCAGCCTTGAACAAGTTACTGAACCTCTCGGAATTCATAAGACCCTCATCTGCACATGGAGTAAGCCAATGCCTTTCCCCTAAAGTGGTAACAATAAAGTAGGTCAAGTGGCTGAGATTCACAGGACCATGTATGGTGGCTCCTTTCTCCTTTCGGGGTCTGTGCTTGGCGCTGGCAGTCACCTCTGGTCATTTGGGAACACAGCCCTGAAGCCACTCTCCTGGGCTGGCTCGCTGCTGGGAATCAGGTGGGGGGCAGTGTCCCCATTTAGCAAGCCTTGTCCCCTGGTGCCTTCAGCTGCCAATGCTTATGACACATACCTCCCACTCACCCACACCATTAACAAGCTTAATTTAATGGTGGTTTGCTCCTGACAATCTGCCTAGTGAGCCGAGAAGGAAAGCAATTGGTGCCTGCCTCCGGTCTCTGGTTACGGAGCCGCTCACCCACCTGATGGTTTGATGCTGCAGGGAATCAGGATCCGTGGCGTTCACGGTCAGCAGCACGCTGCCCACAGAGATGTTCTCCTGCCTGGTCACCATCATGGGGTCGGGGTAGAAAACCGGGCCCTCGTTGACATCCAGGACGGTAATGTGGACGGTGGCTGTGGAGCTGGGGCCGTAGGACACGTCGGGTACCAGCGGGTCCTCATTTTCCACTTTGATCAGCAGGGTGTGGAAGGCCGAAATCTCATAGTCCAGAGGCTGGAATGAGAGAGAGGGACTGAGTGTGTGCATGTGCATGTGCATGAGGGTGTGTGTCTGCACACCTGGGCCACAAAGGGCAGACACTTTTGCATAAAGTCCCCCTGACATCCCATGAGGGAAGGTGGAGGCTCAGGGATGGATCCAGGTTTTGTGGGCTAAGTTTTATGCAATTTGGGATCCTCCTTAAGAACAAGAATATGGAACATGTGCAAATGCAAAGTTAGGTATGAATGATATTCCTTTTAGATTGAGAAAGAAATGACAACACATGACTCATGTAATGAGCCTCAGAGATCTGGGGCCTCCCTGCTAAGATCCCTTTAGGAGACTCACTGGCAATGCTGATGTTAAAAGACTTCCCACCTGTAACCTGTGATTCTGCAACTCTGGCACTCTGGAGGCTCAGGAGGATGGGGGACCTCGAAACCTAAGCTTCATGAGATTCACGGGAGCCCTGTGTATCACCAGGGAGATCCAATGGGAAAGGCAAATCGAGGTCCCATTTATAATGTGTCCCACTCACTCCCACGTGGTCTAAGGGCTGGGGTCTCTATAGCACCAAACACAGAGGGTCTCCTCGCACAGGGGTGCATCTCCCCCAGGGTGTCATGCAGGGAAAAGAATTTGAGAGGCTGAGACACCTGGGGTTAAGCCTCTGTACCCTTTCCCACCTGAGGGCATGAAAATATGTGGGGCATTTTTAATTGTCACCATGGCTCGGGGCTCTCTGGACACACACTGGGCAGGAGCAGTGACAAAAGACACATAACCATGTCTGGACAGTCCAACACAGTGGAGGCCTGTCCTGTGCTCAGGGCCAGTGAGAAGCCATGAGACAACAAACCGCCCGGTCCTAGCAGCTGGTGCTTCTACATGTGATGTGACTGCGACCCAGTCCTCTGCCTCCTTGAGCTGCCACTCATGCTGAAGAGAAGGACTGAGGTCAGAGGTCCATCTTCACTCGCAACTACAAGAGGCCCAGAATCAAGTCCTGGCAAACCACCATTAAATTAAGCATATTAATGATGTGGGTGAGTGGACCCAGGACTTATGGGACCACAGACACAGTACTGCACCTCCCGGAGTCTCAGTCTCACATCAGGAAGTCCCAGTGCACAGCACTGCTGTACAGACTGGGGCAGATGACACATGTCAGACATTTCATGCAGAGACTGGTCTAGAGTCTGACATAATAACACGCTGTTAAGATGGTGAGAAAGAAGAATGTGGGATTGAAACAGCTGGACAGCCAGTGCCCTCCTGCCTGGCTTTTCATGGGTGTTCCCAGGCCCTCATTCCCTAAGCAGATGTGAACAATGGCACGGAGAGAGGGGAGCAGAGAGGCTGAGCCACGCAGTGACTGCCTGGCTTTTTGGAGAGCAAAACCTCTCTCCTTCTCACTGCCATTTGCATAACGCGGGGCAATAGTTCCCGCTGTGCAATGCCCAGGGCCTGCCCACCCGGAGCTGGTGAAACCTGGGTCTCCGCTCCAATCCCCTCCAAGGTCGTCCTGGGTCGAGCTTGCTGGGTTAAGAAGCCCTTTGTTTTCTTGGGCCTCTGACCCTATTGAAACCATGTGTCTGCTGCAGGGTCTGTGTTCTAGGATGGGAGGAAATTAAAAACACAATAAAGTTACAGAGATTCAATTCAATGAATGTTTCATCAAGTGCAGCACTGTCCTGGAGGACTTAAAAACTGGGAGAGCCGGCCCACACGGGAAGGCCGAAGGAGCTGGGGTTTGTTGTCTGGAAGAGGAAGGATTTGGAAGTGATCCAACCGAGACTTTAAGTCTGACGAGTTTGGGGATCAAACTGCTTACTGATGCTTCCTTCTCCTCAGAGGACAAAAGACAAAACAGAGGCAGCTGGATTATGTTCGGCTGAAAAAGTAGCTGACATTTTGAAGTAGGTTTACAAAGCAGCTGCGGGTGTTTCTGACCAGAAGGGTTTAAAGCGGAAACCAGTGCTCATTTGCCAGGCCCCACAGGAGTTGGGCCTGTGGGGAGGAGGACTCCCCCACAAACCACACAGTCCTGAGACTTCTTCCCGTTCTTCAGGGCGCTGCCTGCTGCTGGTCAGGGCAGAGCTACCTGGGGCTGGCGACCCTGTGGTCATGCCCACACCCCTTCTCCCTTATCCACCTTCCTAATAAGAGGATGGGGCACATGAGAGCTAGCTCTCTCTCTCTCTCTTTCCTCCTCCTCCTCCTCCTCCTCCTCCTCCTCCTCCTCCTCCTCCTCCTCCTCCTCTTCCTCCTCCTCCTCTTTCTCCTTTCCTGGCTGCTTCCTTGCTTCCTGTCTTGCATCACAGCATGGGGAAGATGTGATGCCTGGGCCTTTGGCAGCCATTTTCTGTCCACAAGGAAAAAGCCATAACATCTGCATTGCCCCTGCTGGTTCTCTGACACCCTGAGTTGCCCAGAGCCCCTCCCTTCATTTAGTTATGGAGAGAACTACATTTCCTGTATTCCTAAAGCCACTGGAGCTGAAAGCCTCCCTGGTTGCTGGCAAGTGGCGAGCACAGCGGTGTGGCCAGGCCGCCCCTAGAGTGGTGGCTCCCAACGTGGGGCACACACCCCACAGGGGGCAGTTGGATTTTTAAGGGGGGCAATTTGAGAATGAGTTATTAACAGTGTATTTTTTGCATTTCTTATGGTTCTAAGGGCCTCATATATAGTATATAAATATATATTGTGACATACTTATGCATTTCAGTTCTCTATGACATGTTTTGATATTCTCTATTATATGTTTTATTTGCTATTTTTTTTATATCACTTCATATTATTATTATTTTTAGAACAATTTCTTAGTGATTTCTTCCTCAGTACTTCAATTGTCCTTTCTTTTATTTTTCTCTTTCATGGGTGCCATGTCCTTTAAAAGCTTGTTTAGACCAAGTTAATGGGCTTTTAGGCTTCTTCTGGGTGAATAGGAATTCACTTTTTGAATAATAAGAATTACATGTCACAGGGGGGCATCAGGGTTTTAGAGATGCTTAGGTGGGGCATGGCCAACAAAAGGTTGGGAACCACTGCTCTAGAGGGCTGTCCTGGGCTCTGATCAGGTGTGCTGAGAGGCAGGGGAGCGCGAGGCCTGGGGAGGGATTCATGTGGCAGGCAGTGGACGGGAGGGGAGCCTCTGTCCTGATTCTGAAGTGCAGAAAGTCCACTCCCTAGAAAAACGGAAGCCCAGGTAGACCCCAGGCTCCATGGAACCTCCTCCTCAGAGGTCTTCAGGTGGAAACTTCTCATCCGATAGCAGTCCTCATCCCCAAGGCTGTGCTCTGTGAACTCCTGCGTCACCTGGGGCACCTCTCCTTCAGGTTCCAGTTCAGCAGGTGCGGCATGGTGTGGCCTGCATGTTAACTAGTGTTCCAGGTGAGCTTCTAGATGCTAACATTTCAGACGCACAGCACTGTGCAAACACAAGCACATGGGGGAGAAGTGCTCACGTATCCCGGAGGGGGATACGTGTTTCCCCAGACTTTGTCTTTGGTGCAGGCCTAGAAAGCTGCTGGCAGCTTTTGCAGACATGAGGCCAGCAGAAGAGGACAGGCAGTGGCCATGCTATTTTATGACTTTCACAGCTTTGAAGCCGCAGTGGTGGGTGCCAGGGGCAGTGTCAGGATCTTCTAACAACTCTGCCATTGCTGGTGTTATTAGGGAAGAAGAACTGGGAGGACCTGCGGGATGTTTTTTCCCGGCAAACATTGAGGTTCATTTTGGAAGAGGTGTGGAAAGGGCAAGCTTGGAGGAGCCCAGAGCCCTCATGGTCTGGAACAAGCTGGAAACTCGCCAAGATTCTATTTTCAGTGGCTTCTACATCCAGGGGCACCATGGAACTTGGTGGGTGCAGTTGCTTATATGGTTCCATCGCAGCTGAATAATGACCACCAAGTGTGTCTACCATTCTGATTCCCCGAGCCTGTGAGTATGTGCTTAGATGGCAAAAGGGACCTTGAGAGGTGATCCTGGGTTACCCCAGTGAGCCCAGTATCATCACAAAGAGCCTTAAAAGAGGGAAGTAGGAAGGACAGTCAGAGATGTGAAGATGCTGTGCTGCTTGCTTGGAAGATACAGGAAGGGGCCATGCGCCAAGGAATGCAGGCAGCTGCAGCAGCTGGAAAAGACAAGGGAATCGATCCTCCCTTAGAGCCCCCAAAAGGAATTAGCCCTGCAACTTGAGCCATCTGAAACTGATTTTGGAGTTTGGCCCCCAAAAGAGTTAGGATAAATTTATGTTTTTTTTAAGCCATCGAGTTGGTAGTCTTTGTTACAGCAGTCTAAGGGAATGTACCCAGGCTCTAATGCCCACCACTGTTCTAAATGTTTTTACCTATTAGCTCACAAATTCCTCACAACAGCCTGAGTGGTGGGTGGTATTATCACCTTCATTTTACAGCTGAGGAAACTGAGGCACGGAAACCATAAGCAGGTGTCCTGGCCAAGGGCACATAGGGGGAGGTTAGCAATGTTTCTGCTCCGTCCATAGCTACAATTACTATAAATATGATTACTCCCTGCTTGTGAGGCAAATAGCTTTGCCTACCAGAAAAGAAATTGTTCCAATGAGTGTCCTGGTCTGGCAGAAGCTCCCAGAGTGTAGAAGTATATGAAAACCCTTCTAAGGGCACCGAGCTGCCAGCACATTCTGCCAACACCACCCTCCCACCAGTGTTTCCCAGAGCACTGGCAGGGGCCTAGGGCTTGACATTCATTATCACATTTTTCTCCTTATTCCACCTGCAACCAGAGGGTCAGCATGCTGGGCAGCAATGCGCACAGGAGGTTTCACACCAAGAATTAGCCCATGGGTGTAATTATCTCGTGTTCAATGGAATAACTGAGACTCTGCTAAGAAAGATTAAAAAGAAATGTAATGATTTCCATTTTGAGCACAGATCTTTAAAAAACCTTCACTTATTTTATTTTTGCACATCTTTGATAATTCATTATTAAACACATGGAGAATCTGATTTAAAAATTAAGTTTAGGTTTTTTTAAGGTTACACATAAGTTTGAGTTTTCTGGAAGCTGTAAAACAGGTTGGTTTTATGGCGGTGAGGACACAAGTTCAACCTTAAGTCATGAGCCTTTTCTTTTTAATTCCAGGAGGAAGAGACTAGGGCTGAATTATCCTGGACATTCCTCATGCAATGAGGCCATGAGGCAGGTGCGGAAGGAGGAGCAGTTGGAAGCACCCCTACCTTGACGACAGAAAGCATCCCCTCGTTGTTCTGGGGGTTGGTGTGGATTTCGAAGCTCTGGCCAGGGTTTCCATTGATGATGGTGTAGGCAGCCCTCCATGCGCCTGTGGTGGGGTCATCCTTGTCTTCAACTGTCAGGTTGACAATAACTCCCACTGCTCCTTCCTCGACTGTGGCTTGAAACTGCAAACAAAGCAGATGGTAAATGTCATTATTTTGAAACTCTCTCTCTCTCTCTCTCTCTCTCTCTCTCTCTCTCTCTCTCTCTCTCTCTCTCTCACACACACACACACACACACACACACACACACACACACAAAACATTGGAAAGACCATTTACAGAACTCTTTAACCATATGCCTGGTATTGGGTACCTTACCATATAATCTCATTTCATAATGAATAATGACACAGGAAGATTATGATGGAGAACAGTGGTGCCTCTTCTTTGTTCCCTTCTCCTGTCTACCTGAATAGAGACAGTCACAAGAACCCAGGGGGAGGAGGGTTGAGCCACAAGAGGGAAGGGGTTTGGGTCCCTGTGTCACCACATGGAGGGGAGCAGCCTAGCATCTAGAAACACCTGCCTGAACTGTTGATGAATGAGAAACAAACTTCTGTTGAGTTTGTGCCTTTCTACATTTTGGCTTACTTGTATTCCTGCAGCCTCATCTATCTAAACTACAAGGTGGACCAGATAACCAGAGTGCCATGGCTCATCAGTGAAGAGACTGGAACTGAACCCCTGTGTTTGGCTCAAGAGCCTCTGCTAGATTGCACCATATTCTCCAATGAGAAAAAGCCAGTTTTATCCTCCCCACCCCTTATACCCAGCTAGTGTGACTTTAAAGAACTATCTTCTAAGGAAACACATAAATCAATTTGTTTGAGGCCTTGTTGTACCTGTGTTTTTATGTAATACATCTCAAATACTTGTTGCAAATAGGTGTGTGGAAATAAATCAATAAATGAAAAATTGGCTTTCCTATAGATAGAGAATTTCACAAGCTATCATTAGCACATTCCTTTAGCTGGAAGCATAAAGTATTGTTTTGGTGCTTACCTCTGACACAGTACAGGTGAACAGTAATCCATTTGCAAATATTTTACAAACAAGTAATACCAATAAGCTGACAAGAAGAAGAAATATCTTGGAATTTCAATTAGTAGGAAAGCGAGTCCAGAGACAGTCAGATGACATCAAAAAGCTTTTGTGTACAAAGGAAGTAATTTGAGAAATGAGGTTTCGAAAGCAGCGGCTGATTAATTGACTTGCAAATCATTAATCATAAGCCTTAATCTTGATGCCTTGGGGGGCGGAGAGTGAATGGGAACTAATTTGTCTATCACACCTCAGCAAACCTGGGTGAGTTGTTTCCCTTCTGTGAAAGGGGAGCTGGGAAATGCTTGGAACATGCACGCAGGATGGAAAGCAGAGGAGGGACCTGGAGGATGCTAGTACATAGCACAGTACTAGACTATGAAAATATGAGATGCAGCTCCAAGAGATAATTATTTTGGTCCGATTCCTCTGATTTTTGTTTAACTAAGTCCTATCTTGTGTCTTTCCCTCCTTCTCATAGAATTCCCAAGGTGGAAATGTAGACCAGTGGTTCTCAGCTCTGTCTGCACATTAGAATATTTTCAAGGGCTTTTAAAATCACGTTTAGAAAAAGCAAACAAAACCCCTCCCAAAATCTTGGTCCTCTAGTCCTATTCCAATTCAGTTGGTCTTGGGTAAGGCCTGGGATTAGTACTTTCTTAGCCTGCTCGCATAATTCTAATACGAAGCTCAGGGTGAAAAGCATGACTGAGTCCAAGTTCAAGGAAGGCGAGTTGTCAATGAAAGAGCCAGGCCGGTGTGTTGGTGAGGCTACCTGAGCTCAATGTTAAGGGGGCCTAAGTGCACCTGAGCACAGCAGGAAGGAAGCTGTATTCTTGTCTGCCATGTGTTCAGGAGCGGGACATGGTGGCACATGTGCTATCTATTTCTTTCAGAGTGTAGATGAAGATATAGGTACAGAGAGGGAAGGAAGAAAGTGGTTTATCCAAAGCTGTTGAGTGACCCAAAGGTAAGGTGATCAGACCTCCCGTGGCGTTTTTAAAAAGTCCCGATTTTTGGAAAGAATCTTTTAAGTCTTTTGGACTTTTTTAAAATTCCGAGGGAGGCAGGACAAATTGTTAAAAATCGGGACTGTCCCGCCAAAAGCGGGACGTTTGGTCACCTTACTCAAAGGTCAGATCCAAGGTTCCTGGATTTCAGCAATCTCTGCTTTTAACAAGTTCTGTTACTCAGGCCCACTCATGCCCACCTTGCTTATGCCACTCCTTCACCTCTGCTGTGGTCCAGACCCAGAGAGCTAGTTCGCTGTCTCCCCTGATCACAGCAGACCTCAGTTACCAACCCCTTGTGCCTCTTCTGACGCCTGTACCTTAGAACAGCAGGGGGACAATTACTGGCATGGTGAGTGCTGAGACTGGAGGATGCTGGACACCATCAGTCAGGTAGAAATGCTGTTATATCCAATACCTAGGTGAGATGTTGCTTTGTCAAAGCAGCCTAGTGTCACGTTGCTGAGATGAAGACACTATAATAACAGATCATGATTTGAGGAAACTGGAGGCTCTGTGTGCATTTGCCTTGTACAGGGTTTTGTCTCCAGTCCCACACAAGATGCTAGGTACACAGAAGAGACTCGGTAGGTGTTTTCTGAATGAATGAATGAATGAATGAATGAATGGCTGGTCCTAAAAGTAGGAAGTGGAACCTGGCATCATTGGTGAGGGCTAAGAGGAAATGTGAAGGGATGGAGCTATGCAGGAGTGACACTAAGAGGGAATGACTCATTGATGGATGCTTGATTCTGCCACTTCCCTGAATGCTCTAGAAAGGTAGGGAATGGACTGATCTCTCTTATTCTCCAGAACACAGGGTTGCATTTTGACTTTGGTGGACCTTAGACACTTTTACCTTCATTGGCCCCTCATACCATAATATGTTTTCATGGGCTTTAAAAAGCTGATTTTTTTTTTCTGATGTAAGAAAACAATTAAAATGTTCTTTAACCCTAAAAATTAAAATTTTCTTTGAACCTAAAAATTATTTTTTTAAATAATGGTACAGTGGATAATTCATTCAGTCCTGATTTCTAGTTCATAGCACGGTGCTAGACATATGAAAATGTGATGGATGGATAGATGAATGGATGAATGAATCAGTAAAATTAACATTTAGGCCATGTCTAAGTAAGACAAGTTTATACAGCTTCACCCAAGAATCTTTTTATTTCATGTCTACTGAACCTACTAAAGCTGGCTGGCACTGAATACCTTTTTAGTGTGTGAGCAAACAAATCCCAAGTGGGAATGAGAAGGTGGTATTGTTCTAGGAATTCTCTCAAAGTATGTATTGTGGCCCTACCATGCACTTAGATGTAGTAATATAGAAATGTAGACACATTTACTTGCAATCCATCTTCCCACTCACCATCTATCCATCCATCCATCCATCCATCCATCCATCCATCCATCCATCATCCATCCATCCATCCATCCATCCATCCATCCATCCATCCATCCTCCCTTTCACCCTCCCTCCATCAATTATCCAACTTTCATCCATCATCCATCTATATATCTATCCATCCATCTACCCATCTTCCAGCATTTGGTGAGATAGATTTTGCATGCCAGGCATTATATAGTATTATGTTCTGGGGATACACTAGTAAAAAACAGACATGATATAAGTATAATTATAAAAATGTGTTAGGTGCTAGGAATGAAATAACATAGTTCCTGGAGAGCCCGAACCTTGGACAGATGGTGAGAGGGGTGGTACCTGACCCAGACTGGGTGGGGTCATTAAGGAAGAACTCCCTGGGAACTAAAAGAAGAGGAGGAGGCAGTGAGGTGAAGGTGAGAGTGCATTCCTGGCATCTGGAACAGCAGGTACAAAGGCCAGTGGCAGAGGGAGCTTGATGCATCTATGGAACAGGGAAGGTGGCTGTGGCAGGAGTGCGGGCAAGACTGGGAGAACTGTTTGCTATTGGATTCCAGAGGAGGATAGAGTCAGGTTTCGCAGTGCCTTGTGGGCCATGGAAAGGCATTTGGAATTTACTCTCAAAATAAAGTGGAGTCTAATCAAGAAACTCGATTATGTTTAAATCTACTCCTGAGAGAATTCAGAAAAAAAAATCTTTAAATATAGAAAACATTCAACACAATTATTATAGTCTTTGTTAAGACCATTATCTGATTCTTGCATAAACTATAAAGCCAGTTTCCTTGAGCATCCATTTAGAAACTCATTATTGCTTAATTAAATACTCATCCTATTAATTCTATTCAATGTTTTAACCCCATTATGTAATTCAAGAATGGAAAATTAAATAGATTAAAATGAAATAGTACCATTTTATATTTCTATAGTAATGCTCACTTTGTGATTTAAAAACAATAGACAGACATTAATTTACCACACCAGAGAAGGAGAAAATATTGATTGTAACATTACTTCCTTTAATTGGAAAAATAGATAAAGTTATTTTCTGTTAAACTGTGTGGCAAATCAAATACCAGATGCAAAACATATTTTTACATAATCAGTGTGGGCAATTGGCTTGGGACATCCTGAGGCTCATTAGCTCTCTCCTCTAAATTCAGAACTGAGTTATTTCATTCTTCTTTCTTTGACAGGAGGAGTGAGTTTGTGATGGACATTTATGATTTGAGGCAGCTGGAGGCTCTGTGTTCATCTGTCTTGTACATGGCTTTGTCTCCAGACCATGCCTGATCTTGCCACAAAGAGCATCTATCACTAGAGGAAGGAGGGACTTGCATTTTATTATACACCAAGAATGAATGCTCTCCCTCATAGAGCAAAGAGCTGGTTTGTAGGTTAAGGCTAATTTAGAAGATGCGAATAATGATTAGCAGGCTAGAAATCTGCGTGTGGGGAAGAGTTGACAGTGGATGATGTGAAGGGACTGGACATATGCAAATTTGAATACTTGATGAAGGGAGTACAGGTTCATGAGCTGACCACTCTGAGGTTTTGTGGAGAACTGATGTTGAACTTGAAAATCTGGATGTAGTCATCTGGACCCTGGCTTTGGAATATTAAAACAAGTTCCCAGAAAGTTTAATAAATACCAACTCCAACTCCTATTTGTGATGATAAA